CTCTCTCTCTCTCTCTCTCTCTCTCTCTCTCTCTCTCTCTCTCTCTCTCTCTCTCTCTCTCTCTCTCTCTCTCTTGCGCTGTCTCGCTCTTTTTTTTTTCTTTTTTTTAACAATGGATCCAATTAGCAGGATGACTTTTCTGAAGGTTGTGTTATCCACACCTTATCCACCTACATTCAAGGGTGATTCATAATGTGTGTTACGGTGATGTCCAGGGTTGCCTCACAATGCTTACCTTGACCATCCACCTATAGTCCAAGGTGATCCATAATAGCTACCTTGAAGTACATGCTGACTCACAATGGTTACCTTGACAGTCCACCTATACTCTAGGGTGACTCGTAATTGTTAACCTTTGACAGGGGATCCAGTTAGCAGGATGACTTTTGTTAAGGTTGTGTTATCCACGCCTTATCCGCTTGTATAACTCCCTCTCCTATCCATTCAGCGGACTGTTCATTCGTCAGCTGCTTATCCCATGTCTCATCCCACTTAGAACAGGGCAAGCACCACCAGTTCCCTCTTGTCAGGTAGTGGCAGGGCTGTAGTAGTGCCAATACTTCAATTTAGCATTTGCAACTGGAACTAGGGGCGTCTCATTCCAAAAATCTTTGGAGTCGTTTGGATGCAATTCGCCTGATTTTGTTTCCCCCCCTCCCTATGGTGCCTGGCTGATAGCTCAACAGTAGTAAACAGCGGATGCGTTGATATCCCGATTAGGAATTCAAGGCTTTGTTGGATGCGTTGATATCCCGATTAGGAGTTCGAGGCTTTGTTGGATGCAATAATGTGAAGGGTTTTTTGAACTTTTTTACCTCCTTGGAAACAGGAAGGGGTGCACTCTTTGCGTGTGGGCAATGCGAAAGTCATTCAGCTGTGCGTTTTACAATTCATTCATGCGTCAACTTTTTTCTTTTTTTTTCAACGAGTCTTCCGAAGTCGATGGCCCAATGTCATGAGGCTGCCGGGCATGTTAACCCGCAACAGAGGGGGTATCACACCACTAGCACTTTTTGTTGAGTTTTTTGCTGAACCTGGCGTGCTGGTGGGGTGAGATTCATCCAGGGAAACCTTATTGCATGCTCCGCACAGGCTAACTGATGAACTGGAGGATTGTCCCACAGCAGCTAGCTCGTGGAAAGGGTATTATGTGGCACTACGGCAGTCGTTGCAGGACTCCCTCGGATGAATGTCACCGCAATTTTGATCAGGTTCGCTCCGGAAACTCCTCTGACTGATATTCCCGGCTGTCCTATTGCCAAACAAACTCATCTGACTGCCATTATGGCCACATGCATTGGAAATCTCTTTCGAAATAGTCAGTGAAAGAGCCGGAGGTATGGCCCTTACCCATCCTTGTTGCTGTACGATGCGGAGGCCGTACTCAGTGCACCTCAACATGGGGCTGATCGCGGTTGGATACGTTTCACAACTTTCACTGTTACAATGTCTCTTTTTTGGGAAAAAAAAAAAAAAAAAAAAAAAAAAAAAAATGTCTCTG